AAGATTCGTCCACGTCTTAGTAATTGAAACTCTAGCCTAATATTACAAAATTGCAAGAAATCATAAGTAATTGGAGAAATATACTCAAATTATAGATTTTTGAAGGAGAAGAGGAAGATAGATCTAGAGATCTTGAAACTCTTTAATAATTTCTTGATGAACTCAAATGTATCTTCTTGTCTTTTTTCCAAAATATAAAGTTGAAACTCCAATTTCTTGAAAACTTGTAGTTGCCATTTAATTCTCACAAGAACAATAGATTGACATCTCTTTTATGATGATAATATATGAATAATGGTGTATGAGAGGTGTTTTTCAATGACTGTCCATGTTTTATGTATATAGAGAGTGAAATTAAGTCAAGAATCATGTCCAAATTCGATTTGAAAAGAGTTCTAATCAATAAGGAAAGTTGCATTAACAACGCACGAGGTTATATCTCTCTGCAGCTGTCGGCATTTTGTTATAACTTCCTTATTCGATATCCGATTAAGTCAACAAAATGCGTTGAAAAACCAACGCAAAGGACTACAATTATTATTGAAGCAGCATTTTTTTTTTCAACTCGAATGTTTACTATGTCAAAATGGTCTCAATCTCTAGATAAAAATTTGCAACATAATTTTTGCGGTTGAAAATTGTGAAAATATTTTGATCACATTTCACTCATTTTTTATTGCTAATGGAATTCATTTAACTACTAGTAAACTCCAATTATCATTTTGTGATCCGAATCAATCATTAACTATTCACAATTTGATCCCCGAACTTTGAATTTTGCCCATTTTCACCAGTTTTTACTTCTTTTTTAATTTAGCTTCCAATCATTGACTTTTAACTTATAAATGAAATATAAAATAAATTATGCTATAATTAATCAAAATAACTATTAAATATCTGTATTGTTTGGCCCGAATAAGTGTATAAAATATATTTATCAATGGTGTTGTCCTAAATTACATTTTAGAAATATGTTGAAAGTTGAAACCATGCATTCTCTCTTTTCAAAAAAATTTCATAACACACTAACACATCTTCGTTTCTTGCTCCTATTTATATTCCTCCCAGACATCGATTTAAAATGTGCTCAAGATAAAGTAAGAAGACAAAAAAAGCAAAGATTATACATATGAAATTGTGTTTTGTTGTTTGTGCACATAGCAAAACTCTATGAAATTATATCAACTTATTAGATTTAAGAAATACTATTCACCACCTACACTTTCCAAATTGTTTAAAACGAAGTCAAATTCTGTTTTGGTTGTGGACTCAACGGCAAGATTGAGACAAATTAAGAAATTAACATCAAATCAAACTTGTACAACTTGAAATATAATCGAAAACAACAGAGTTCATGTGAATCTAGGAAGAGTAATTAAGTTGATGATATGATCATGTTCTACGTTGGAGTAGTTGGCTCTCCTTATTCCATGCTGATGACATATACAATATGTTGTGTATCAAATGATCATCACTAGATACAAATTAATGTAAAGGCATATTTAAATAATTTGCAAGAACTGAACTCATTAAAAATAACTCAATTGCTTGATAAAATCATCACATATGAAATAGTGATTTTTTGAAGAATAGTCGTTAAGAAATAAAGTTTTCAATTTACGTGTAAAATCATTTTATTCGAGTAAGTGAGATTGAAAATGAATTTTGACAATTTTTGTTTTTTGAAAAAATGGTTCTCAAATAAAGACTAAATAAGATAACTCAAACTCATTATACACATTATTTTCTCTATGTTTATGCTTAAAATTACTTCGAATTTTCTTTACACTATAAATAATTTTGTTTAATCACTTGGGAAAATATGCCAAACAAGGTATTCTCCATTTAAAAAAAAAAATGAGGGCTTGTTTCCTTGGATTATACTATGAAGTATGAACCAACATATTGAATTCCGACAAAATTATATTCCCTATACACATATATTACAGTCGCACCTTTGTTTTTTATTTTATGTAATTATAATATGTACTAATTCGTAAGTGATTTTGGCTCTTTTATATCATTTCTTTGGATTTAATAAAATAATTTTTTTATTAATAATGAGGGCTTGTTTCCTTGGATTATACTATGAAGTATGAACCAACATATTGAATTCCGACAAAATTATATTCCCTATACACATATATTACAGTCGCACCTTTGTTTTTTATTTTATGTGATTATAATATGTACTAATTCGTAAGTGATTTTGGCTCTTTTATATCATTTCTTTGGATTTAATAAAATAATTTTTTTATTAATAAAATATTTGGTTGAAAATAAGTTTGAAGAAAAATAATTTTTAAATAAATTATGTCAAACAAAAGCTAAGAATTCATAAAAGCTAAAATTTATTAAAATGACATAATATTAGTAAAAAAAAGTTTTTCTTTATTTTCCCGCATTTTTTAGATTATATATTCTAATTTTCGTATATCACTCAATTTTTTTTAATACAAATGGAGACATCAAACTGATAACACACGATTGGAATAGCAATATTTTGCACCCAAGGTTCCCAACATTCACACTAAAGCACTTAGGTCCCCATTCTTATATTTTCTATGTTTACATTGCAAAACTTCTATAATGGGTTCACATGGGTTCCTAATTGATGGATATAATGACTATAATAGTATCCCATGTACCTGTTACGAAAAATTAATGTACATAAATTATATTCTAACAACCAACCTTTATGTGCGTAAAATGCAACAGAATCTTGAATCATCGAAACCAAACATGCAAAAGTAGAAATGATAAATGCATGAATATAAATTTGATCGAGTAAGAGTTTAACTCTTTTTCCTTACAATAATAATGTCCTACATGGATGCTATTGATTTTTTGTCATTCGTCTCTCACGATACAATCATGTCCTAAAATAGGAGTACTCCAAATTATTTAAGCTAACGAATCTACTTAAGTTTTGAATTATCTTTATATGAAACCCAACTCAAAATAAATTCTAAAATTATTTTGAAATGAATATGCATCAACATGATACTACAAGAATAAAAATTAATGAGTGAAAATTCCAAACTCGTGGGGTTTATATGTAAGTGTGGGAAAGTTATGTCTCAAAAGACACGTCTCTATAAAAAGACAACAAATATAATTAGACTCTATATATGAAGAGACATGCTTATTTGAAAATAATAATTTTGAAAATCATGATTATATTGATAGACACTTTTCAGCCAAACGGTTCTAAAATATTTTATAATATTCTATATAGATCTTCAACAAGTTTATGTATTTAAGTGACTTAAATTTGACTTAATTTTTCATTCATCAACTATGATTTTTACTTAAATAATCATTCAAAAATTGGTCAAAACAAAATTTTTTCTATGCAAAATTCCAACGGTTTCTCGTCAAATACATGTTTTGTGAGTTTATAAGTATTTTGAGCATCTTTTATTCACAAGTTGATTTTAAAGGTGAATATTATTCACAATAATTGTTACAATTGAAATTAGAACAAACACTTATTCTTGGATGGTGCAACATGAGGACTACTTCCAAAAGAAGGTTGGTCCTGTGGAGTCATGAGAAAAAATGATCTTCCTGGACGTAGTTATGAAGATGAATAGAATGTATTAAGGTCCCGTTTGTTTTCCATTTTTGTAAGAATGAGAATGAAAAATATAGTCGTTACAGACCCCATACAAGAGATATAAATTTAAATTTAGTGGTTTGATGTGATAAATAACTGTTATATTTTTTATTTTAATGGGGAAATACTGGAAAACAAACTGGAGCTAACTATATATTTTTTTAATTGCTAGCGTAATGCTTGTCTTGTAAGTTTAGACACATTTTAAATATGTTATAAATAGTGGTTAATTTCATCCAAAATAGTTACTTCACCAGCCATACACTTAAAATACTATGTAGGGGCTATTTCATTTAAGTTATTTGCCATTTTTTTCGTAGGTTGTTTTTGTATGAACGTGTTACTTCAACTTTCCAAAGATAAAATAAGTCCATGTTTGAATCTCATTCCATTACATTCTATTTTTCATTTTTCTATTTTCAGTCACATAATTTTCTATAAAATAATATTTCATGTAAAATGAAAACTTTTCCTTCTTTTTCAATCACTCATTTAAAAAAAAAAAATGCTATTCTATCCATTTTCATTTCAAAAAAAGAGGGCCAACGGGGGCTAAATCTATATGTGCATTTTCTTTTCCCTTTGTTTCTACCAAGTCGACAAATTCCTTGAATTCACCTCAACTCCCTAAATAGCGGTAATTGCTTTGCACCTTACTAGCATTCTCAATACCTTTTATTGGAGCTTTGTAACTAGTGGTCGCTTTCTCATCACTAGAGTGTTTTCTCAGTGCGTGGAACCCCAACAAGGGATGTCTTTGGTTTAAGATTGGGTCAATAACGCTAATCACATTTTTTTTTTGTTTTCCACTCTGAACCTTTTAGCTTACTTGGAATACGTACATCATGTTGTTTCTAAAGATCGCTCTTTCTCAGATGGATGCTGGTACATCCAACTACTAAGATCCCGTATCCAACAACACAACCTATACAAAAGTCATTGAAGCCCATTTATTAGGTTGGGGTTATGAAACTCAACTCATTTATTATTATTAAAAAGGGAAGGGCTTTTTGAGTTGGTGTGCACGAGTGTGTTTTTGTTTTTGGGGTCTTTTGGTTTCGGCATCGCTATTCAATGGATAAGATGGCTACGCTCCAGCTTACTAAAAAATGGGAAGATAATGATTCACTGACAAGTTTGTTCTGATTTTGGACGCGGTACATTAAAAATCTGAAGAACACCACGGTCGCTACCATGCATCGGCTTGTGGTGCGGTAAGGCTTTGTTAAGAACTTGTCACGCTCGAAAAAAAAATAAAAATAATAATAATATCAAGAATGGGTGATCCAAATGTTCCTAGCATGAATGATTGGGAACATTATGTGCAAATTTCCGAATCACTTATTATTTTAGCAATTTTCAATTAAATACATTTTTTTTTTTTTTTATAATAGTTGCTTCTTCGTCGTCTTCATCCTCGTCCTCACCCTCACCAGTGTCCTCTGATCGGTGAGTCCTTATCCTCTCTCTTTTCGTCCGGGTTAATCTTTCGATTAGTTACCATTTCTTATCCCAGGATAAGAAAGATTGAATTTTTTGGCGCTTTACTTATTGCTCCTCAGATCATGATCCGCGCATCTTTTATCAAATATGTGCAGGAAAAAATTTACTATGCATCCAACCCTGTGAGTTTTAGATTTTTATTTACATTTTTCATTTCCTTCCAGAGTGTTGTTATAATTGAGTAATCTAGAAGCCTCAGCGTAGGTAGAGGTCAATTGTATTATGATTCTGTTCTAATATGTTGATGGGAAACATTGATTTGGATTAAAAGTATGAGAAAATTTGTGATTTTGCAAAATATATTTCAAATCTTTCAAGTAGATATTCAATTCACGTTCTATTGTTCAAGATAAATATAGTTGAAGTGCAGTGTTATGAAATCCATTGAGGAAGAGAAGTCTGGACGCTTTTGATCTTTTCATTTTTCTTTAGTGATTTAAGTGTTTTGGTTAATTTAGAATCAGATCCATATTGAGTATGGTGAAACTTATTTGTTCCATATGGTGATTTTGTAGGTTCTCAAGTTTTGGGCTTCTGCTATCTATTTTTAATTATTGTAGTTTTTGGTGGAAAGCTATATCTTTGTGCTCATTTTTTTCAGGGGGAGCCATAAGTCACCATGGTCTAGGAGGAGGAGAAAACACGCCCTACTCGCTAAACAATGGAAGAGTTTATTTGATGCAGAGGGAAAACTCTCTGATGGGGGAATCAGGTTGCTGAAGAAAGCTCGAAGTGGAGTATGTTAATGCCTTTATGTTCATATACGCATGTTCCATTGTCTATTTATTTTCAATTCACACTTTTCATTGATATGTAAAAATAGTTATCTTCAAGTTTGTCTGTGCAGTTTTAGCTCAAATTATCTTATATGTAATGCAGGGTGTTGAACCAAGTATACGGGCAGAGGTTTGGCCTTTCCTTCTTGGACTGTAAGGATTTTTTCATGTTTATAAATTTGAATACTTGGTTCAGTATTTTGTTCATTATTTATTTGTCTACTCATTTTTTTCCAAATGCTTAAGTCATGGCTTGCAGAAATTTCCCCAGCAAGTTGCAAGACTAGTAGTCTTCATGTCCTTATTAGTGTATTTGTATTACTTCTATATTTTATAATCTACTGATCATTTTTGTCCTTTAGTTTTAGTTATTCCGTAATTTGAATACTTAAAAATGGACCTGACTTTAACTTTGCGATTACTGCACTCTTATATTTCAATAATTTACTTTTTACAGCTGAAATTAAAAGAAGCCTAGGTATTTATTGATTTATCCATGGATGTGAAATTAGTGTCACTAGCAAGTTGCAACACAGTTCGGTTCTCATTGTTAAGCAATTATGCTGCTTTTACTTATCTTTTAAGTTGTAAAAAGAAGCTAATAATGCGACTTGTTAATGAACATATAAATATTGAATAAATGTTTAGGGGTGTATTTTCCACATCAAGCCATTCAATGGAAAAGCATTGAAGTTCCTTTTTTTAGATTGGTAATAGAAAATAATGGATTTTTGCCCCATACCAATTCAATATGCAAATTTTGCCGACATAATGGTTTATATTTTCGAGCACGGGATGGCACTAAAGAGATTTGAAGATTGCACAGCATTTGCAATATGAAGTCATTGGCACATTATTATTCTTTCAGTTTGGATTATGCGGTTTCACAATTTATTGGTCCATAGAGTGTTGAACCTATAACTTTCAGTGATGAATAACTTCTTTCCGGTTAATTGAAGTTGAGTTATTAGGAATCCCCATTCCAAAATCTCTGTATTATTGTAACAACGATTTGCTTTTTGTGATTTTCTGTTGGGAATGGTTTGTTGTTGGCTAAATATATTGACTCCACATTTTCTTACAAATGCGCTACATTTTAATTGCATAAAATCTCCATAACCTTTACTCATGATTATACTTATGCCCTTGACTTTTTCACCGAATTCTTATTCTTAACCTTCAACTAATTAGCAAATTTTTTCCCTAATGACGGTTTTTGTTCAAAAATTCTATTAAGAAAAAAAAAAAAAAACAAATTGCTACTATATATTTGTCCCTGAATTTAAATGCTGCTAATATCATTTTGGACAAAATTTGTCATTAAGGACACAACATGCTAATTAAATGGGATTTTTTTTTTCTTTTTTTGATAGGTAACTAATTAAATGGAAAGTCAAGAATAAGAATGTAATGAAAATAGTTAGGTATATAAATTTAATTATGAATAAAGGTTAGAGACTTTTAATGCAATTAAAATGTCGTGCGTTTATGAAAATTATTATAGCCACCCTTGTTAATTGTGTAATCTTATATTGTTGAATTGGAACGGTCTCTTCTAGCTGCATTCTTTGTCCTTGCAGCTATGATTTGAAAAGTACACAAAATGAAAGAGATGCTATTGGAGCTCAAAAAAGGTAAATTTACCTTCACAATGGCATATTTTCTCTTGAACAGCTTATATATAGGAAAGATGGATTTCTTGCTTCACCCTACCTGTCCTTTCCACCACATCCAGTTTGTTCCTTCTGTATCAATTCTGTGTCATTTTATTCTTTTCGTTTATAGTTCAAGCTATCACCTTTGCTTTCATGTACTTTTGTGACAGAAGAGAATACTTAGACTTGCGGAGACAGTGTCAACAAAATTTAAAATGCAGTGATAGAAATTTCAAGTCGGAGATTTACGGAAATAACATTAATGAGTCTGGTGAATTTAATCGAGGTCCAGATTCTCCTGTGTTGGAAGAAGTTGCTAGTGCCAGAGCTTCTCTTTCTGTGGAGGGAGTGAGCCTTGAAGGGAAGATACCCACAATATCTGGACATATTCTACACCTTAAAACATCCAGTACATTATTGGAGGAAAAAGATGGGTGTGGAATTATTGATGAAAATATTTCTGAAGAAGAAACTGAGTCTTCTGATTCCGACTCCTCGGAAGAATCTGACGATATGAAACCTCTCCTTGGCTCAACAGAATTAGAAGATAATGAAATTATTGAGTCCACTTCCTACAAGATGGAAACTAGATCGACATCTTATATGGCTGAAGATTTTGCCTCTTGGCAGCGGATCATGCGTGTTGATGCAGTGCGTGCTAATTCTGAATGGATTGTTTACTCACCATCTGAAGCTTCGGTATCAGAGGTTAAGGCATGTCGATTAGCTGAGAGCGTCGGATTGAAGGATTATGATCATCTGGAGCCATGCATGATATATCATGCTGCTCGTCTTATTGCTATACTTGAAGCCTATGCATTATACGATCCTGAGACTGGTTATTGCCAGGGGATGAGCGATTTACTCTCTCCAATTATCTCAGTTATATCAGACGACCATGTAGCGTTCTGGTGCTTCGTGGGTTTCATGAGGAAAGCTCGACATAACTTTCGTCTTGATGAAATGGGAATCAGAAGGCAGTTGAAAATCGTTTCTAAGATTATCAAGGGTAAGGATTCACATCTCTACAAACACTTGGAGAAGCTTCAGGCGGAAGATTGTTTCTTCGTGTACAGAATGGTGGTTGTTTTGTTCAGACGGGAGTTAACCTTCGAGCAGACCCTTTGCCTCTGGGAGGTTATGTGGGCAGATCAAGCAGCTATTCGAGCTGGAATTGGCAGATCAACTTGGGGAAGAATGAGGCTTAGAGCACCACCTACGGATGATCTATTACTGTACGCAATAGCAGCCTCCGTATTGCAGAAGAGGAAATTGATCGTAGAAAAGTATAGCAGCATGGATGAAATCATGCGAGAGTGCAATGGCATGACTGGACACCTCGACGTGTGGAAACTTTTAGACGACGCCCACGATTTGGTCGTGACCCTCCATGATAAGATTTAGGAGAAAACGTCTAGTCTGAATTTGTTCGTTTGATGTCCTTCGATTTTTCTTTCAATTTTTCCCTTTTACTTATTCGTATGTTGTTACATCGTTTAGGACGCGGTCAAAACCGAGGGATCCTGAGTTTACCTCACTCTTCAGAACTAAGACTTGATGGGCGAGTTCTGTATTGAGTAATTTGTGGGACTTATATTGTATTGCCGGTGCTCAATATTCTTGAATGAAGTGGCAACCTACTAAATTAGTTATCTAAGTTTCTTAAATGTTGCCTAATTTTCTAGACTGACCATTAACGTAGTTATCAATTAGAAATTCTTGAAACAGTAGAAGTTCAAGCGATGCAATTGAAAGTTTTGGAGGAAACTATTTTAGCAATGGCAGGTGCTGAGTGGATTTTGCACCTGATATTCGGAGTTTATTTTGTTCCAAATTTGCGACAATTTTATTCTTAATTACTATTAGGTCACTGAACTTAAACTTTTACTGCAATTTGGTTTGCACTTGGAAATTGACATTACAATCTAATAAAAAAGAAATGTTCGCACAAATAAGATGCCAACGCGACAGATTTGATTACCTCTCAAGACAAGATTGACTTTTAAAATGAAAATTTAAGTCTCGATTTGCTGTCTTCGAAGTATTTATAAAATTCAAGGGAAATGATTTAATTTATCTTAAAAAGATTAATCGAATTGAATTCGATATATGCAAAAAGGAAGAGATTCGTAAAATGGTAGAGGTAAACATAAGTTTGCACATTTTTGCCGTAAACGATGAATATTACAAACTATGTGGTTCGACCTTGCTTATGAAAGCTATGCGTGCATGTAATGCTTATAACTTCTCTCTCATTAAGATTATTAAGTAATAATAAATGTGAAAAATGATTTTCTTTTTATGGAGTTACACGATTGATATGCTCACTTTATAACAGTACATGTCACTCTTCTAGATTAAATTGACCTTTTAAGATTTAGATCGCAAGATTTGATAAATTAAAGCAAATTGAAATTTATGGACTTTTCTATTATTGGCTTTATAATTTTCAAATTAGAAAAATGAAAATTAAAATAGGAAAAGCCCTGAAAATAAATATGAAGAAAATCTGGAAAGGGAAATAAAGTGAGTTAATGTTTTGTTGGCTACCAAACTTTGTACCATATTACGAGTTATTCACCGAACTTTCAAAATTATCTCATTAGCCACTGAACTTTACTCCTTCAATTTCCATTACTCATCGGGTTAAATTTGTTAGTAGACATGCTGATGTGGTTGATGGAAAATTGAGGTGGTGTATTAAATCCATAAAAATGTAAAATATTTGCCAACTCAACGTCATGTCATCTAGTTGGACATATGCCTTCATCAAACAACTATACCAATTTTATAAAGAATAATGCTATTTGCAGTCACTTATTATCGCAGTCACCTACGCAGTATACATGTGACGGTTAATTATTTGATATATGAGATAAAAGAAACTACCACATTAATATATTAAATCATAAATAGACATGTAGGATGTCACGTAGGGTGACTACCAAAGACTATAAATAACATTACTTTTTCATAAAATTCCACCATCATGGCAAAGCTTGAAGTCAGCTTATCCCCATCCCAAATCTCTCAACCTTAAGTGCCTCAACAAAAAGGAAGATGGAAATTCTTGGCTAAGCTCCATTCCTAAATCCCCCCGAATGACTATGAAATTTATCCAAGCTCACCCCAAACCCGAAGCCCCAAATTTCCCAATTCCCCTGAAACCCGAAACACCAAATAAATAAAATCAATTACCCAAACTCTATACAGTTGTTGTCGACCACAAGAAGAGGCCAACCTACGTGTAAAAAAGTAGCACCCATTTCATTTTATATTTCGTGCAAGACTCGTTGGCGAGCACATGGACGAAACAATTGAAGGTAAATGTGAAAAACCCTTTTTCATTTCTGAACTCCAGATATATGGTGTTGTGGGTTGTATGATTTTTTTAAAGCTCAATGGTTTGTAATCCCTAATTAGTTTTGCATTGGAGAATTTAATTGCATACACGATCATTTTGGTGAAATTTTGTTTCTCTGTTGGTTAGCTTAGTGTGGTTTATTGTTTACATTTCCTGAAAATTGACTGGATTGAATGTGATGATTTTAATATAATATGGTTTTAAACAGTTGAACATAGAATGTTTCTTAATCAGTTATCATTATGAATTACTCAACTTAAACTATCACTCCATTTGCACACAATGAAACAGAGAGGTAGATGAACGAGTAGGTAACGCAATTTCATTTATTCATACTTCTAAATATTTGTTAAATTATATCAACTAATAAATGTGGTTTATGTAAAAGGGTAAAATGGTTGCATAAAGAGGGAAGAGAGCTTGATTAGCGATAAATGCTGTAGACGATAAATCTTTCCAATTCGTGCCCCTATGGTAAAGTGTGAATCGCGGTCGGGATGTATTTGATCTAGACCAGTAGCAACTGCCTGCAGTCGGTTGATCAAGCATCATGTTCCAACCGATAATGTCAATTTCGACGAAACAGTTGAAGAATTACAGAAACGTTAGGGGCTGAATCTACCAATTTGAGGACAACAAAGGAGCGAGGACAACAATTTGCTAAATCTGCTAAATTGAAAGATGCAAAGCCACAGTAGTGTTGGGGAAAGTTATGTATAGTTCTTGGACAGTGGCGATTATGGGTAGCGTTTCATGTATTTTTGCACACAGACCAAATCTATTGGACAGTCAGGACAGAGGCTTTCCAATTTAGTATTTTTTTTGTACAGTCACGATAGTGATGTACATTAATGCTTGGTTTTGTTTTTTTGTTTTTTGTTTTTTTTGCACAGCCATGGTAGTGTTAAGATTTGGGGTCCATCTCAATAAACTCAACCTTATTAAGAGGAGTGATCCAAAATCTATTTAAATTGGTCAATATTTCGGTATTTAATCGATGTAGAATTTATTCCCTTAACATGCCCCGCAAGATGATGACTCTTTTTTAGCAGACCAATCTTGAAATCCGTGTGTTCATTTTTGAAACTTAATCGGATCGAATAGCTTGTTGGAGCTTATTGGGCTCCAATACTATGTTAAAATTTGGGGTCCATTTCAATAAGCTCAACCTTATTAAGAGGAGTGGTCCAAGATCTATTTAAATTGGTCAATATTTCGATATTTAATCGGTGTGAGATTTATTCCCTTAACAGTGCTTTTATTTTTGTCTTTTTAGATTATGTTGTTGTAGATTATGTGTATAGATGTTGAATGGTCTCAATGAATCAACTAATCCAGGCAGTACATTATTTTATGGTACTAACTTGAGTGCTAAGTCATTTTATACGGGTAACTGCATTATATTAACTTTGATTTCCACACCTTTGAACAGTATGATTTTGAACAACTAGTAACTTTTTACTACTCCAGGTATCAGTACCATATAAGTGAAACTCTTTTCACTTGCCAACATCAGTACCTCAATAAGTATGGTCTTATTAGACATATTCAACCAACAAATGTAATCAAGTTCTCTCTCTCTTTTAATATGTAACTTGTCTAGTTGTGACACAAGCATTTGACAATCGTGACATAAGGATTTTTCACCAGCAAACATATTCAACCAGGAACACGAATAAAAATAGCCATTAAGCAATGACACGACAAAGAAACGCTTGAAAGCTCTAGCACAGTACGTAGTATCCTAGACAAATTGAACTGGTCATTGAACAAATATATCTATTGATCATGCGAAGAACGATTGAAAGTGGGAAGACCGGGAGATTATGTTTATCTCCAACATCATAATACATCATAATATCTATTTGATATTAATTGATACAAGAGATCATTTCATATTGGCAATTCATATTGTTCTAACTTGTTAATGAATACATATGCAGTAATGATCGAATAACATATCATGATTACAATGAAATTCGTACACCAAAGAACAATCACAGTCAACATTGTTTTATGAATAACGTAGGTGAAAACATTTTATGGAGCTCCTTCCTTATGTTTCCCTTTCTTCTCCATGTCTCCTTTTCTCTTGTGGATACCAATATTTAGGAGAGAAATGTAAACGTCGTGTTCTTCAATTATTTTAGCAGTAGTCTTCAACATAGAAGACAGATCTTCGACTTGGATTGCCCTTTGGTGATCAGGCTTTATGAACATAGATTCTGAAGAATACGAAATTTCGTAAATTCATATTCATCTCCATTTGACAGAAAAAGGAAAGAAATTGGACAAATGAATTCATATTAATAACTCAATTAATATTAATCTCATTTTCGTAAATTCATATCTAAGTTAACGAATAAAAGAAAAAAAATGAAAATAACAGAAATGGAAATGGAAACAACAAATAAATAACAGCTATGAAATAGAAATGGAAGAATAATGGGAAAAAGTGAAATTAACAAATAAAAGAAGGACAACTTTTTCCCTAAAATTTCCCTCTACACTATCACCTTCAGCATCATGTCACTTACTTGCTCAAGTTCAAATCGGTTACTAGAAGAGATGAAATTCACTTTCGCAGCACGTCGGCTTTTCCAACAAATAAGAGATGGAAATTGATTTTATTTATTTGTTAACTTGAGATATGATTTGGCCTCTTCGCGTGGTCAACAACGACGGAATAGATTTTGGGTAATTGATTTTATTTTGAATTTATAATGGGAGAATAGTGTTTTTTCGAAAATTGTGTAGTTGAAAAGTTTTCGATCTGAATACCATATTATTTTATTGAATATTGTGTGGTTGAAAATGTGAGAGAAAAAAATTAAATTAAATTGAAGATTTTTAAAGGGATCAAACGGGAGCTTTGTGCTTCGGATTTCAGGGGAATTTGGGTCTTTGGGTTTAGAGTGGAGAGCTAGTAAATTTCATAGTTATTCGAGGGATTTAGGATGAAGCTTGGCTAATTGATTTGGGAATTTTCGTCTTTTTCTTCATTCAGGCACTTAGGGTTTGAGAGATTTAGGATGGGATAAACTGACTTCAAGCTTTGTTGTGATGGTGGAATTTGATTTTGTTATATCGTGTTTTATGAAATTGGTGTAGCCGTTTGATGAAGGCGTGTTTTAGCTAAATGCGATGGCCTTGAGTTGGCAAATATTTTACATTTGTATGGATTCCACCTTAATTTTTCGTCAGCTACATCAGCACGTCTACTGACAAATTCAACCTGGAGAGTAATGGACACCGACGAAGTAAAGTTAGTGGTTAAGGGGATAATTTTAATAGTTCGATGATTAAATTGTGACACCATGTAAATTTCGGAGTCTAATAAAACATTTAATTTAACTCATATAAAAATCGCTGCGCCTCCTCTCCTTCGCAACTCAGTAAAAAAAACAGTGTTTCTTCCCCCATCTAGTTTGTTTTTTTAACTGAAGTATCTCGCTCTCTTTCTCAAAAATTTGCCCCCCCTTCTTGTTGTGCTTCCAAATCCTGTAATCTACTGCATCAATATAATGTCTTCAAATGCTGATCATTTAGAAAACGGAGCTCCCAAACCCGAAGCCGAGTCCGAGCAAGCACCACCTGCCACCGATCCAGATCCCGATTCAAACGACATCGGAATCCAGCATACAGATATACAATCACCAGATGCGGAAGAAGATTCCAAAATCGACGACGTAGTTGAATCCGAAAAAGTACAATCAGTCCATGCGGAGGTATCGAATTCTGCGGCAGAAGAAATTTCGATCCAGCCAAATGAATCTGAGGAGAAGGAGGTAAAAAGGAATTATGTGGGGAGTGAATCGAAACTGAAACGAGAGGAAGGGAATCGGACTTTTACCATGCGAGAATTGTTGAATGAATTGAAAAACGGTGATGCCATTGAGGAGGTTGATACTCCTCAAAGGTCAGTTTCGTTCTGATGATTTAGATAAAAATTCATATTTATATTTTTTCCCCATTCGAGGTGAGAAAATGATTAAATTCAAATACAGGATTAGAAGAATATATGGTAAATGAAATAAATTGGTCGTATCATGTCGTGAATTGATTTCTTCTATGAAAATTTAAATAATGTAAAAAGCTTGATTAATTGTGGTTGCTAGGCTGAGTGATTTAGGTACTATTAATCATACAATTTAGTTCCTTATAACTGGCACTGTGAAATTCCATTCCATTCTTAGTGTGAGTATAGAGAAAGTGATTTGCGAAGATTGATGGAAGATCTGTAGTAGAGTCTTTACTGAGAGACTTGTATGATCAAGAATTGACGAAGTAAAGTACATTGGCAGTTCTATTGCGTGCTGATTAAATTTGACGATGTAAAAGACCGCCTTCTAGTCAAAATAGCAACTTCCATTATACTACACTAATTAATAGAAGAAAGAGCCATTATTATCATCTTACAGAACAATCCCATACTAATGGCACCTTATGACAGATTCAGCTTCTTGTGGAAAATTTACGATGTCAGCCCCAGTGCTATGCTTAATTCCTCAGTGTTCTTTGTATTGAGTATTGTCCTCCTTTTGGTTATCATTGATTGAAGTGCTAGTTGACATGTCAAGAATAATTTCCACTTCTCTGATTCTTGGGAAGTGCCTGCTACTATTCTTTTCCTTACACATAAATTAGACAGGTGCTGGAAAGCCAATATGCATAGCCTAGTCCAGAAATTATTACCATTAAATGTATTAAACATCCATATTGATCCCTTCATTGCTACTTTTATAATATGCAGGCGATAGTATATGTTTCACCACATTTAACCTGAATAAGTGCATTTGCTAATGGCCAGTATTTTTATCACCCTGCTGACATAGTACATAATTCACATTATGTGCAAGTCCCCATTTCCTCATCTTCATGATACTGCAACCAAGATTGAAAGCATATATGATCTCTTTTTAACCCACTTCACCTGATATTGTGCTACTGATGCTGCTCTTATCGTTAGGAGTCTCCATGCACACTTGGAAAATTCAACCTCTTGATGCCTGGAAGTCACTAGAATACAATCTTGCCTTTGTTATTGGGAAAAAGCTCTCTGGTGGTTCACTTATTGACTCTTGCACTATGGCTATTTCCTTCCTCCCATTAGGCCATTTTATTTTAGCCCCTGTTTCTCCCCCTTTAAAACAAAACTCTTTAATTTCCATACTCATTTTCAACCACACTTTTACACAATACAATATTTTGCGCTTAAACCCAAAACTTTTCCTTGATTTTTTTACCAAATATTCTCCCAAAAATCACTATTCAAAACATCATTTTTTTCTCAATAAAGGACATCAAACGGGGCTTAATTTTTCTTCAATAGTAGAACTCATCTTTGCAATCTCCTCATTGGCAAACTGCTTTACTATGTTTTCTTAAAAATGAAATCGTAGAGCTCATATGTGATTATCATGGCATAAGAAAGTATCAGGACCACCTCCAAGTTCTCACCTTCTCCCAAGCTGCAGTATCTTCCTTCAAGGCTCCAACACTAGGATATCTCGCGATAACTGCTTTATTTGGATTTGAATATTTCCCATTGCTATTGTTCCACTCACGTATCATCAGTAACCCCAATCCCCATTTTATAATGGCTTACAAATGAAAGCAGCCCCCTGCCATATTAGGGCCCTTAGTATCTTCTGACCTTCGTTAAGCTCAGCCTGTGAATTATTTTCAGAGTAAAGATACTTCCCAAATGAATGTGGACTTCAAAGAGAATGATCTGCAATCATCCAATTATAGGCTTCCAAAATTGTAACTTCAGCTCATCATCCACCTACAGTCAATGTTTAATGAGTCCTTATCATGTACTAAGGGATTTTTTTCAACATGAAGCCAGGCATAAGCTTCACCATAAAGCAAAATATATATATATATATATATATATATATATATATATATAAATTATTAAGATCTTGTGTGGTTCACATAAAAATTAGATTTTTAGTAAATTTTGATAAAAGTTGATGGAATGTGTGGTTGAGAAGTTGTGGATCCCAATAAATGAGTGGTTAAAATTTAATTGTTGATTTTGACTTAGATTTTAATCAGTTGTTTTAGCTGAACTAATCAGGGGCTAAAATACAAAATAAGCTCATAATAAATCTTAACAATCTTCAAAATTCATAATAGAATAATTTAGAGTGTATAGACAAACAAAAGAAAAAATTGTAAAAAGGAAACTATAATTTAGTTGGTGGGGGCAGTGGACATTTCCATGGTTTGGGAAACACAATTTTTTAATTTATTATTGGGTGCTATGTTATTCCCAATGGGTCTATAAGAATTTTTATGTTTGTGTTTTAACACCTAAAGCAGAGTAAATAAGTTCATAAAATTAAGAAGTGCATGCCTGACAACTGAGACGGTGTTGTGAGGAGTGTGCCTCACACAACTGAGGCATATGCCTCCAAAAAACCTGCCTTACAACAGCTCCTTGGGGCCTTTTTTGCTCATCTCACTCTGAGACAGGCCTTAAGGCAGGCCTCAATTGGGTTTTCTAAACCATGCCAGCAATCTATAATCCCGTGGCCTGCAATTTTGTGATTAGGTTCAAGCCTAAGTATTTAGCAGGCAAGTTCCTATCTCGAGCTCAGTTAGCTCAAATAGCCCTTCTTCCCCTTCACCAAACTTGTTATGTAAGAAGTGTGTTACTGTAAATTTGATTCCATCCATCCCTCTTTTCGAACTTTGGAACACACTGCCTACTTTCTGGGATGATTTCTTTGAACCTCCTCCTATACAAAGAAATCTTATGTAAAATGAAAACAACGAAAGAAAAGAAAAGCACAGAAACATGTAAATTTAGCTCTTAGCATTTTCATGGATGTCATGATTTCGTTCCTCTTCAGCTGCAAGACGAGAGGTGTCCGTAACTCATAGAAAGAGGTCAGCTTAGATGATTCCCTTCCCTCAGGCCCCTAAAACTCCCCAAGCACCTTTCCAAAGCACCGTTAATATATATTGTATATCTGCAACTTGTCATTTGCCACACAGGTTTCAACCCAGTTGATATTAACCAAAGAAAAGCTTATAGTTCATATTTTACCAATAGAAGTCTCCGATTTACTGAATTACATGTCTACACCGGGTCTTTTTCATGCAGCATATCCAGGTTACCAGCCTCCTTTATATGACATTTCTATAAACTCTGCTGTATTAGCAAGATATTCTCTTTTCTAGGCTTCTAGATCTTCCTTCTGAATTGTCTGATTGGTTATCATTGACCGTGAAGGCAGTATCCTCTTCAAGCCTTTAACTTGCTGCCAATATTTTGGTAATACATTTACTTACTATATTGCAGTGGGATGTAGGCCTAAAGTCTGGATTTTAGACATCAATGACTGTCCGTGCATAATTCTTGTGATTATGCCTTCTCTCTCTTTACTGACTTCTTTGTGTACGACTCACTTGCCAGGTGTCAGATTCAGTGGAAAAATTCCTGACTAACGGACAGTTTTTGAGAGATGAATTCAACTACTTTTTTGTAGACAATACTTGTTCTTGTGTTTCCATGTTGACTTGTTTTTGCTCTATTAGCACAAGAGATTTGAGAATTTGTCAATGTAATGCTATATTTACCCTTGTTCATCAAAGTATAGCTTTCCTGCTACCAACTTTTTATAATTCCCTTGACAAAATTCATTGTCATCGATTTATATCCTGCCGTATGCTTACTTAATCTTGGGTAGATATAAAATGGCTGACTCTCCATTATTCTCCAAATAAATGCATTTTCTTAGGAGGTTTTTTGCTTCTTGAGTGCAGAGTGTGTAATTTTCCTTGAACAATTTTGTGTAGCATTTTTTCTGTTTACCTCCTGTTCTTCTGTCTTAATCTTGGGTAGATATAAAATGGCTGACTCTCCATTATTCTCCAAATAAATGCATTTTCTTAGGAGGTTTTTTGCTTCTTGAGTGCAGAGTGTGTAATTTTCCTTGAAGAATTTTGTGTAGCATTTTTTCTGTTTACCAGGTTCTTCTGTCTTGAGCAGGACACGTGAAACTCTCAGTCATTTATTCTTTATGTGCTATTATCATGACAAGTGTTACTCCTCTTTTGTATGGTCTCTTGCGCATTTGATTTATTCCAGTCAAACAAGCACACAACAGCAAAACCAGAATGATGCTGCTATGGAGTTGATTGATAGCGTCACAGGTGTTGATGAGGAGGGTAGGTCTCGACAACGGATTCTTACATTTGCTGCAAGGAGGTAGGAATCTAGGCTATGTTTGATTCCCATTTTTTACAAAATACATTTTTCTCTCTTCTTTTCAATCACACATTCTTCATAAAATAATATTTCACATAAATAAAAAACTTTTCCTTATTTTTCAACCACACATTTCCCATCATTCTACTATTCTAAAATGCATTTTTTTCATAAAAATGGGGCTCAAACACCTTCCTAATCTAAAATTATTGTGACTTTGCAATGCACATTATTCATTTACTGTTTCTCTCTAAATGTGAGTTAATGCTTCAAAGATTTCTATGCAAACTGCAACGTGCATAGAGCTTTTAAACCCAATTTCGCATCGACTATGTGTTTCTGATTTAAATTAAATTGTGTTAGATGTGCTTAATTGTAGTGATTGATTGCTCACTAAACACAAAGATAGCCAATGAAGATGCATATCAAACTCCCCTTTATTTAGGGGGTGTGCTATTGATTTTTATCAAGTTTCAAAACATATTTTATAGTATCTTTCTGTTCAAACCTTGCTTCTTGGGGTCATATTTTCACTAGTGCTTAGATCCTTTGTCCTAAATTAATTGCTCTCCTTTCTAACTCAAACAATAGGAATTTAGTTTTATACCATCGCCATAAGATAATTGGAAGCATTTACATGACTTCAACGACTCAGGAACTATGTGATGCAAGTGTCATACTTCTTTCTTCACATTTTTTGGTCTTCTTGTTTAATGTCATGGTTGAATAATGATTAACTGCTTGAATTTGGTTCCTCTTCCTTGTCTTACTCGTACTTTCTTACAGATTATTGACTTCTTTGAAATAGAAAAATGTTCTCTCGATATTAATAAAGTATACAATCGTGCAATGAAAATTTTCTGCATGTACAATTAGTAGGAAGCATCTAGATACGTGGAGCTTCATGAACATATATTTGGGTCCTCAATATATCGATATTCACACTTGGCAGTTATATGCTCTTGACCACTCCTCTCGAGTTGAAGCACATTCATACTTCCCAGCTTTTCACGAGCACGATAAACTTTTAAACCACATAATGAGTGGGTGGAGAAAAGTCAGTCAGGTTGTGTGTCCTGAGTTTTATTTCCTCTTTCAATGAGAAAGTAACCCTTTTGACTATTTTCCTCTGAAAATATCCTTTCAAAGCTTAACAGTGTTGAGAGAAGGAGAATTTAGTTGCTACTGTTGGCACTTTTTTGCAGATATGCTAGTGCAATAGAGAGAAATCCAGGTGATTATGATGCACTGTACAATTGGGCACTGGTTCTTCAGGTATGAATATTGTGAATTTAATAGAACTTCTTGCTATAAATATATGAAGGTTTTTGTTTTTCTCCTTCCATTTTGATTCACTCTATTTGCAAGAAATGCTCGTGTATCATAGTATATCTTCCTCTAGCTGTCTTTTACACCACAATTTTTGCATCTGGCCCACTTTTGAATGGAACATAATCCACGTAAGTAACTGGTTGAAAATGAATGTCTTCTAACTTGGCATTTAGGAATTCTGTATATAGATATGCTCACAATTTATTCCATTGATTCAGGGACAGTTTTGTTTTGAGTTGTATCTAAACAATCAGAAAGTGTTTACCACATCCTCAAAGTTTGGCTATGAATGCAGGAAAGTGCAGATAATGTAAATCCTGAATCTGGTTCTCCTTCCAAGGATGCTTTGCTCGAAGAGGCTTGTAAAAAGTATGATGAGGCGACCCGTCTTTGCCCTACACTTAATGATGTATGTATTCAATGCTATGCTAAAAAAGTGTGTATAATTTATATGCAACTGCAGTAGCATCTATTGCAGTTGGAAAATGTAAGGAATATAATAATGCAGGCTTTTTACTTTTGGTGCACCATAATAAATGAAGAACCTGATCTAGATTGTATCACGTCTCTTTAAATATATCAGTTTTTGTCCACAATATTGTGCAAATGCCATGTCCTTGTGCGGTTTGTTCACATATGAATCTACATACACTTGTGGAGCAGTACCTTTATGATGGAGAAAACTAAGATGTAAGATAATTTATTGTCTGGACGATGCATAGTGGGCTTACTTCAGATTGGATCTTAGATTTACCTTGAGAAATTATTTTACAATATTTATTCTTTTATAAAACATTTATTAGATATTCACTTAAAAAGACAATCTTAATCATATTGTTACGAATGTCAGGCATATTATAATTGGGCTATAGCAATCTCTGATCGGGCGAAAATGCGAGGTCGTACCAAGGAAGCTGAGGAACTTTGGAAGCAGGTTGGAGCTTTTCCTGAAATGAACTTCAGATGCTATATGCTTATATAGTCTGATCATTAAGTTTGTGTTTTTTTTTTATATCATGATTTTTAATTCAGCTGGACATAGTATGGATGTCGGGGACATGTCAAACTCAATTGAAGAATAAAGCTCCTTTTTAATAAATTTCAAGATATGCCAATTTGAAAAACGTTGTTTCTTTTTGTCTAATTTTCAGGCTACAAAGAATTATGAAAAGGCAGTTCAACTCAATTGGAACAGTCCTCAGGTAATATTTTGAGTAATTACAGTCTTAGAAACCCCAGAAACAGCCTCTTCTGCTGCAACTTTGGATCAGCTGGTGAAAAATAGTCTCCAATGTTGATTTTACTATTGCCAAAATCTCAATTTGGTTTCTGGTCTTTCTGTCCCTCATTGTTTGGTCTTTCAACATTTATTAACCACTTCAAATTTTCTAACTTTAATATATGTATCACACAATACGACACTTCTCATATTCGCATACTTTTGTAGAATGTGCTACCTTTTTGTCTCTCTTCTTTCAGCATTTATGAACTACTTCAAATTTTCTTATATTATGCCTGTAGATTTTAATCATATTAAATTTCTAGTCAAAGTCAGTTTTAACCTCATTTCATGGGACCCATAACTTTTCAACAATACATTTCATCAACTTTTATTAAAATCTACTAAAATTTTGATTTTTAATCATCACCAAACTGGGACTATATGAATCACTCACAATGCGACACTTCTCATAATCGCTTCCTTTCACAGAATGTGCTGCCTTCTATCTATTTCCCTTATCTAACCTGGAACGACATGATTTTTATTTCTTTGCTATTTTCTGAGTTTTTTATTATTTTTTTCCAGGCACTTAACAACTGGGGGCTTGCTCTGCAGGTAAATTTGCTTAATTTCCTGCTAAACAAAACATTTAATTGCTCGCCATTCTGGATTTATGCTGCTATATGAGTCCAATAATTGGTGTATGGTTTCACGATTCTTGAGTACTTTTATCGTACCTTAAGTTTGGTAAATAATTTTATGCTTCGAATTCTTATTTCAGGAACTCAGTGCAATTGTCCCTGCTCGTGAAAAACAGACCATTGTAAAAACTGCAATCAGCAAGGTATAGAAACCATTTGATTTAGCAGTGCGCATGGGTGAATTTAAAAAAAAAGATCTGGAGAAATTTTGTTTACCTAAAACCACGCCAGATCGACCAGTTTAACACCGGGACTGGCAAACCTAATTCTAAACTGGTCTGGCCTGCACTTTTGGACTGTTTTACATTTAATGGGTCAAAACCCACTGAGCCAGGCATGTTTGTTTAAAACTGGCTACCCAGTTTTGGTAAAGCTGGTTGGGTTGTATATTCATCCTCAAATGCAAGTTATAGAAATCGTCCTCAACTGCATGTTGTGTATTTCAATCTGAGGCTATGAAGATCGAAGTTTCACTTCTCTTCTGCTGCACCATACCCTAGTTTGTTGTGTTTATTTTCCTCTACTGTGCGTATAAATCAACTCCAAAAAATTATTATCCCAAAAGAAAAGAAATAAACAATTTGTCATTTTTTTTCCTAATTAATTGCAAGTACTCTCCAATTTACACTTACAGAAAATTGAAAATTTTCTTATTTTGGCATTTATATGAATTTATATGTGACGAACCGAGTAGAAAATTTTTATGTGTTTTAGAAAATTCACTTTTATCCAAGCTAATCCCAATTTATTTAGCTTAAGATAAATAAGGATAATATAAGAAAGAAGTTATAAAGCACGAAATCATTTAACAATAATGAAATCAAATAAATATATATGTTTATACTGACTAGGCTTCGAATATTATGTCTGTATGACTTAAAAAATCGACCTCTAAAAATAAAAAGAATAATTTCATTATTATTGTAATCAACCACAAACCATTTAAACCTCTTATTTTGCCAGGTGGTACATTTTACAATTTCTTATATAATTCTCCAAATTTGAGATAGTCCCCATGTTACTCAAATTTTCTGCTATTATTTATCAATAAACAAGTTTTGGATTCAATAAACTGCCAAATTATTAATGTATTTGGACATTGGAAATATGACAATGCCACATTTATTTTCCTAAAGGAAGTACATGCGAGAGGAAAAGGGGTGATGCATATTATATTTTTAAGTTGATTTTGATAATAATATGCATGGGGAAGAAACAAAAGACGGGGAGTGTGACATTATGGTGGGGGGGTGTCATTTATTTGATTTGAAGAGAGAGAGAGAGAGAGAGAGACTTTTATCATTTTTCATCTTGTTATTTCTCTTTATGCAATGCAATGCATTGCTAA